CTCTGTGTTTCTCTTTCATTATTTTTTATAGACAAGGTACTGTAATTTATTTTATTCAGAGGAAAATAAAGTCTTAGCTAGGGGTAGGCAAGGAGATTATCAGTAAATAACAATCAACATGAAGCTATCATTTATATAGGACCTCCAAATGATATAGGGGAAATAATATAACTCCCAACCTGCTAGATGTCTGATATGCCAAGTTCATTTTCCCAGAACCAAAGAATGAATTCTGAGGAAAAACAGAGGTTAAGAGTAGGAAAATTATATTGAGAGAGAAAGTTCCAGAGAGAGATGGGAAGGGACCTGGGAAATGGGTTGCTAATGAGCCCACTTTACAGAGGAAGTTTTATAGAGCAAAATCATGAAGTAGGTGCAAAATCATGAGGTAGGTGCACCATGGACAAAACTATGATCAACCAATAAGATTATAAATATAGTTGCTTAGGTAATTGTATTAAAGATGCAGAGAGAGAGAGAACAAATCATGGGTAGGCATTGTATGGGCAATAAGGCTATTACTCTTGGGCTGGCAGCAGGTGGGCTGAATGTGAAAAAGGGAATTCAGCATAGAGAGGGCAGAGAATGAAGAATTTAAAGGGGGTTGGGAGGGGTTGGAATTTGAGGGGCAGAGAGTGTGGTCATGCTCCTTGGAATGGGCAGTGCAGGTGTTACTGAACTTCTCAGTGGTGAGGGGCTGGGACATGGTTTCTTGCCTTTGTTCTTTGCGGTTGCCTGTACTTCTGCTGCTTAGGCTGGTTGGCATCTAGGCTACACTTGGTGCTGTGCTTTGAGTCGTGTGGCTGTCATGGAGATAGGACTCACCTGCTGGGTATGACACTCCCATCATTTTGTTGTTATAAAGGGAGGGAAGATTGAGGAAAGGGGTGCTGTTTCTCATGGCTTCTTATCTCCTGCAATTTTTTTTCTTTTTTTTCTTTTTGGTATGGGGGATCAAACTTAGGACCTTGTGCTTAAGAGGCAGGCACCAGAACCACTGAGCTAAATCCCTGGCTCTCATGGCTTCTTAATGTGAGACATATGGGGAGCATAGACACCTTAATTGAAAGAGAATTTGGGGGAGTGGATTTTCCATGGAGAGAAGAGAGGTCAGGAAGAGAGTGACAACAAAGGTCTACAGTGGACACCTTAATTGGGAGAGAGTCCTTGGGGGATGGAACAGTACAAGAAGGTGGTCAGAACTAGCATTTGTTGCACTGATTGACTAATGATAGCCTGAACTAAATTTTGTGGAAATTGTGAAAACAACAACAACAAAAAACCCCCAAACAAACCCTGAAGAGGCATAGCCCAAAAAGAAGGAGGAGGAGAACAGAGACAAGAGGCCTTGTTATTGGAAGGAGTCATGAGGCCCAGCCCCGAATATTGGTCCAAGAGTGAGACAGGCATCTAATTTCCAAAGGCTTTTCAATTAGTCCTTTTGCTGTGTCTTGCACTATGCCTGGTCCTTTCACAGAAAGATGGATAAGCCACCTTTTTTGGCTGTGAGAAGATCTAGGCCCCTATGATTTTGGAGCATTACTGACATCAGGGAGTCTATCTGGTTCTGCAAGGTAAAAATAGAATTAGCTATTTCCCAAGTCAGAAAGGTCTTGGGAGAAGGAGTGACAGTAGGTCAGAGAGGTAGCTAGACTTCCTATCCCCATCCTTGTGGCAGTGGTGGTACCCAAACCAATGAGCAGGGGTATAGTTGTAGGGCTCTATGTTGTCAGATTGGGGGTTTAATGGTGATAGGGAGGCTAGGGAGGAGGAAGGGGTAATAAATGGAGGGAGATATTTTTTGGAGAGCAGAGAGAGACAATGAGACTGGCAGCAAGGAACCACATCTGTTGTCTCCAGCTGGGACAAGGGCTGTAATGTGGGTGAGCCTTCAAGGCAGGCATCCCCAAATGTTGATCAAACATTAAGAGAAGACAGTCTTCTTGGAGGACATGTCTGTGGCCAGTGCTAGATTTAAATGGCATGGAAAGTAGGGCAAGCTTCTCCCTGTTCTAGTAGGTGGAGGGGTGGAAAGGTAGAGTAGTTAAGGTTCAGGGATAAAGCCTTGCACTTGGTGTGTAAGAAAAGGAGGGGGCCTTAGAAAACTCTGAGATGTGGTTGTGTGGCATATGGAGCATTGAGGGGTGATGGTTTTGAGGAGGGTCTTCCAGGAGGAAAAGCAGATAAGAGGCTCAAGCAGTCAGGTTAGGGGTCTGTAGCCTGCATAAAAATGGTCATGAAAGGATGAAAGAATAGTGTGCACCTGTGAAGCAGGAAGGAGGAACTTTCCCTTACTTAGGAACCACCCATCTTTGGTGGTGAGATCCTGATATTTTTGGCATTCAGAAAGGGAATAGGCTGTGGTGAAGCTGGAATGGGCAAAATATTAACCCTTAGGGGTGTGGAGGGAGATGACTAAGAATGAATGTGGGAAAAGGTGTTGACCCGATTGAAACCAGATTGGAGGGGGATTTAAGGGTCTGGGGACTTTGTTATCAATACCCACAACAGTAGTTGGGGCTGGAAAGACCAGTCATTGGAATGAAGGAAGGATAGAATGAATGGCCCATATATTAGTCAGGAAAGGGATGGACTCACCCTCTACTGTAAGAGTTACCTGAAGTTTGGAGTCCAAGATGTTCTTGGGGGCCTCTGAGGCCTTGGGCAGCTTTAGGACCAAACCAAGAAGGTCTTGGAAAGAGCAGGTTGGGGGGTCCCTAGGGTCATGACCCAGAGGCAGCAAGGGTGGCTGCCATTGTTGAGCAATCTGACTTCCAGTGGGGACCCCCACAGGAAGGATATGGCTTGGGGGGAATCCTGGACTGTGGGCATTCCCTAGTCCAATGACCATTCTGTAAACATTTGAAACATGAGCCTGGTGGGGTGCATCGAGTCAGGGGCATTCTTGATCCCTTTGATGTCAACTTGGTGGTTGACTTTGAGGGGTTTATTTCAGTGGCCAGCATCTGTAGCTCAGAAATGTGCTGCTTAGAGTGGGGATTTAGTTCAGTGGCACTGTGCCTGCCTTGCAAGTACAAGGTCCTGAGTTTGATTTCTGGTACTGAAAAAAAAAAGAAACTGCTGCTTTTGAGCATTTTCATCTCAGTTACTTAAACCCTAAAAGGTCATATTGATTAGCTATTGCTGTGCGGTTTGAGGACTAGTCTCCAGTTTCTGTAGTTTCTCATGAATGTCTGGGGATGACTGAGCGATGAAGTGCATCTTAAGAATAAGTTGCCCTTCTGGCTTTTCTGGGTCTAATGTTGTGAATTGCCTAAGGGCAGTGGCCAGGTGGGCCATAAACTGGGCCAGATTTTTATCTCTGGACTGAGTGATCTCTTTAAGCTTATCAAAATTAACTGCCTTAGGAGCTGCCTTGTGAAGTCCCTCTACTAGGTAGGAAACCATGTGATCCTGTCTGACTATGCCCTGGGATCCTGTCTGATAGTTCCAGTTTGAGTACTCCTGGGGGTACAGCTGCAGGACCTCAGGAAAGTTGGGCTGAAGGCACCTGCATTTGTCCTCATAAGACCGGGCCAGGGAGACTACTCATTTCCTGCTTGTCTGGGGAGGGAGTGGCACTAAGGATAACATTTAAGTCAGCCCAGGTGAGGCTTTATGGCTGGGTTAGGTATTGGAAGTCTTGGATATATTGGGTGGGGTTTGAGAAGAAGGAGCCCAGACACTGGTTATCTTGGGAGAGGTCTGACAGAGAGAAAGGAACATGGACTCAGACTATACCCGCTGCCTCTGGAGAAGGAACTAGGGATTAGGAGGCAAGGTTTTGGAGCCAAACTGTAATCTGGACCAAGTGTGAGGTGGTGGGAGGCTGGGTAAAGTGTAATGAGGAGCGTTGGAGTTAGGGGGTGGCACCTAATTGGCAGGAGGGTCTGGGGGAGGGGGAGAAGCACAGGAGGCTCAGTGGGAGGTTGTCTGGGAGTGGCAGGAAGCTCAGTGGGGTGGGGGGGCTGCCTGAGGAGAGCAGCAGGAGGCACAGGTGTGAGGTGTGCTTGGTTGGGTCACCCAGAGCACAAAGCCTGACTTGGCACCTCCCCCACATCTAACATGGGGCACAGCAAAAGGAACAGGAGGGCCATCTGGACAAACAAGCCCAGAAAGAAGGAAGAGGAGGAGGATGAGGATGAGGATGAGGAGGAGGAGGAGGAGGAGGAGCTGCAGTGGTTTTGGTGGGTGGTGCAGCTCAGGCAGCCTGAACCCCATGGCCTGGGGGTGCATTTGGCACCACTCATTGTGATTATAGTATGTTATTTATCCCTCAGAGAAGTATGTAGGCCTAGTCATTCCATCTTTATCTTGAATCCTGGCCTTCAATGAATGCGCCTCCAGCCACAGTTGTAAGGTGTTATCTTCTGCACTGACTCCTTCAAAGGGGTAGCCCTGTCTGACTACCTATAATATTTCTACCTAACTCAGCTGTCTATAATATCATGGGTGCATTGAAGATATCAAAAGACAACAGAAAAAACCTTTTTTTTTTTAAAAAAAATAACCCAAGCATTTATTAAGCACTCACTGATATCAGATATGGATTACTGCCAATCCTCACCATCACGACAACTAAAAGACTTGAAATAGTCATGTATCCATGAGATGTCATAGGGCTCTCTACTACTCCCAGCATAGAATTTTGGATTTTCCTTGTTTTCTCAGGAAGGAGGTTGCTGTGGTAGCACATGCCTATAGTCCCAGCACTTGAGCACTGAGGCATGAAGATCCTGAGTTCATGCCCAGCCTGGACAAACTGGCAATTTAGTGAGAACATGTCTCAAAATGAAAAATAAAAATGGCTGGGTTTTAGCTCACTGCAAAGGCCCTGGGCTCAATCTTCTGGGAAAAAAAGCCATAGGCTGTAATAACCACTGTTTAAGATAAGTACAATGGGAATGATATAGGAGAAATATCACTCCCAACCTGTTAGATAACAAATGTGCCGAGTTTGTGGTTCCATAACATCTAGGAATTAAGTCATGAATCACAGGAAGAAGTTAGGAGAATTTTATTGGGAATAAGGAAAGAAGACTAATTCCTGGAGTTCCAGGAGGGGTCACAAATGGGGTGATCACCAAGGCTCTTTTTCAGAGGTAATTTATACAGCAAAGTCACAATATCTGTATAACATGGGTCAAACTACAATCAGCCTATAGGATTATAAGTATAGCTGCTTAGCTAATATTGATCAGAAAGGGAAATGAGTCTAGTAGCAAGGGTATTTGGAAAGAACAAAGGCATTTTTGGGAAGGGATAGGTCTGGATCCTCTGGTCACCCATCTGGGCAACTGATGCCTGTCTGGACTTATTGGAGCAAATGGTGCTAATTACAATATAATCTCAAATTATTGTCTATCCCTTAGGGAGACATGCAGATCTGGCCATTATATCTTTATCTTAAGGCCTGGCCTTCTTCAGATGCACCTCCAGCCACAATTCTGATGTCTTTATTCTTCACCAACTTCCTTGAGAGGGCAATTTCCCAATTTCCTTGAAAGCATTAATTGTTATCTAACTTAGCTCCCTATAATAGTATTATTCCATAATTAAGGTCTAAAACCCTCTAAAGAAAACTTGTGAGAAGAGAGAATTTATCCATGACTCTGGTGTTGACCATTAGGTTTTATTAAGATCAGCAGCTGTGAGGTGAGGTAGGTTTGAATTTTGTCTTGAATATGACTTTTTAATGATAACTTTAGCATCTTCAGTCACTGTGTCAAGAAAATGTAGTTGCAAGTAAAAGATTTTCTTAAAGTAAAGTCCTGTAGCAAGGAGACCTCCATTAATAAAACAGAATGTCTCCATATGTCTCCAAAGTTTTTCTCCTGTTGTTTCTTCATTATTAATTTCCAACAAATTTGGAGATTTAATGATTGCCTTAAGTTGTTCCAGAGGTACTTGCAAATTCTTAGCCAAAGACTTCAGTGACAAATCATCCACTCCAAACAGGACTTGGAAGTGGTTTAAAATTGCCTTCAGCTTCTTCATATCATTGACACTGATCACACCCTGCATGGGCAAGGTAGCCAGTAATCCACCCTTAAAGGCTTCTAGCCAGATATAGTGCTTCAGAGACTCCCGCTTTCTTTCAATGGCTGCCTCAGTAATATTAGGCAAGGAAAGCATAAAAATGTGGCGCTTTTGAATAGGGACATCATTTATTAAGGTGTCCATCAGGATTGGGAAATCAAATTTAGATGAATTGTTGTTAGAGATTAAGAAGATTTGTGGTTCGATCATGTTGTTCTTCTTAAAGTTATCCAGACAGTTGTTTCGGATTGTCTGCAAGACTCTTTCTTCATTAAATGTGGATGGTTTACATTTCTTTTCATTTCTTAAGTCAGAGTCCACCTTGGTTCTCACAAAGTAGAAATTTTTTTCATAATTCTGATCACTTTGGCCAGGTCTATATCATTTTTTTTGAAGCATGTAGCAGAAACAATAATAAAAAAGTCATATTCAACAAACTGTACTTGCCTAAGATAATCTTTTGGTTGGAAATTGGTGGTTCCGATGCCAGGTAGGTCCCATATCATCACATTGGGAAAGATCGGGTGAGAGTATGAAAATCTCTCCATGGTTGTTTCACACACCCCAATGGGAGCTGCATATTTTGATTCATGCTCAACCCCTCTCAGGGCATTGATGAAACTGGACTTCCCTGTTCCAGATTCCCCTGTCACAGCAATGTTGAGTGGCATATTATCAATTTCTTTTAAGGCAGCAGTGATCACAGAATTTGTCCCTTGAATGTCTCCTTTTGACAAGTGTAACTCAATTGCACTGATGGTTTCTTGAGAGATGAGTTTGTTTTTCATGTTTGAGTTCTTAAAATATTTAAAGCTGGAGACCAAATCTAGGTGTTCTTCAGCATTAGGAGTATCTGAGTACAGCTGGCTCATGATGGTGAGTAAACAGAGGAACTGGAAGAGAGGGAAGAACAGAGTTGAAAGAGATCTCTGTACCAGAAGATTATCTTTGTGTTTTGCTCTGAACAAAACTGCTGCAGTGTCAGTGTTGCTTCCCTCAGCTGTGTCCTGACCCACACCAATTCTCAGGTCATTCTTCTTTCTCTCTCTCTTTATTAGTGTATGTTTGCAATAGTTCTCAGGTCATTCTGCTTCCTGTCTCTCTTTACAAGTGTATGTTTGCAATACAGAATAGTTACATTAGTTTTTGGGGATTGATATATATATAACATATCTTTCTCATTTTTGTTCTTTATCCCCCCTCTCCTCATCCCCTTCCTCATCTTCAAAATGTCTGCCTTTGGGCCGGGATTTAGCTCAGTGGTTTTGCTGCCTGCTGTGCAAGCACAAGGACCCAAGTTTGATCCCTGGTACCAAACAAACAAACAAACAAACAAACAAATAAAATGTCTGCCTTTTTGTTTCCCACCAATTCTCCTTTATTATACTTTAATTTATTTATATTTTAGATTAGTCCTATAAGGGAAACATATGTTATTTAACTTTCTGACTTATTTTACTTAATATTATAGTCTCAAAGTCATCCATTTTCCTACAAATGGCATCATTCCACTCTTCTTTATGGCTGAATATATTCCATTGTATATAATATCATTTTCTTCACCCATTTGCCTGTTGATGGGCATCCAGGCTGTTTCCAGAGCTTAGCTATTGCAAATTGTGCTACTATAAACATGGGTATGCATGTAGCATTATAGTATGATGTCTTTAATTCTTTTGCAAATATACCCAGAAGAGGTATAGCCAGGTGTTTTTAACTTTTTGAGAAATCTCCATACTGACTTCCATAGTGGTTGGATTAGTTTACATTCCCACCAAAAATGTGGAAGGGTTCATTCCTCCCTACCTAGCCTGGCCAGCATTTTTTGCTTTTTGTTTTGGAAAATTTTAAACTCAGAGTCAGGGAAAATAATGTAAAGAACTCCATGTGTCATTTAGCCAGCTCCAACAACTGCCCAAACATAGCCAGTCCTAGTGCATCTACTCATACTAGAGTACTTTAAAGAAAATCCAAGACATCCCATTAAATCCTCAGTATAGTCCTTTAAATTATAAGAAATTTAAATTAATTTGTTTCAATACTATTATAAAACTGAAAAGTAAGTACTAATTTATAATCATCATTAATAGCTAATCAATGTCAGATTTTCCCAACAACTACATAGGGTTTCATTTGTCTATTTGCATTTTTTGTTTACACTAGTGGTTTGAATCAAGATGTGATTAAAAGCCAGCCATTATTTTTGGTTGATATGATCTTTAAGTTGCATTGATTTGCTTTTTCCTCACATTGAAACTCAGGTCCATGAGTGTTTTCCTCCAGGAAATATAAAATATCTTTGCTCTTCAGGTCCAAACTTATGTCCATTTATTCAATGTAATGTTTCAGTGTATTCAAGCCCTTATTTAGCTTGGTTTTCTTTTAAATGTTTTATTTTTGTACTGGGGATTGAACTCAGAATTGTCACACTGAGCTACATCCCAAGTGTTTTAATTTTTTTTTTTTGAGACAGGGTTTTGCTAAGTCACTAAATTGCCCACACTTAGCTTAAACTCATATGTGAGTCACCATGCCTGGTTCTAAATATTTTATTTTGTAAAAGTGAATTTCAAAACACCAAATAGAATACATATAAAACACAAAATGTGTGTGTTTAAAAATCAGTAATCTACTTTCATGATCCATTTTCTGTTGCTATAACAGAATACCTGAGACTGGCTAATTTACAAAGAATAGAGGTTTATTTAGTTCACAGTTGGGAGGCTGGGAAGTCAAAACCCTGGCACCAGAACCTGCTGAGATTTGATGAGGCCCTTACACTGCTTCGATTTTTGGCAAATAGAATGCTCCATTGATCACTGAAGGATCACAACCTCTGCAGAAGCAACATAAAGAGTTAAAAGGAGAGGCAACTTTTCATCACAACATCCTTCCAAAAGATTTTATTTTTAAGAAAAAAATATTTCAACTACTGAGGATGTCTAGCCATTGACATCATCTGCTCCTGACATCCAACAACTGACATTGTCATGGCTGGATGATTCAGGATCACCCAGAGCAAATGGTGTTTCTCTCTGTAAATAAAAAATAATTCATTTTAGTGACACCTAATACACTAAATATTATTTCTAGGAAGTAAGATGCTGTGTGAGTGGTTGATA